TGTACCCAACTTATGGGATGGCTCTCTTCAGAGCTATGTGTTCACACTTTGACTTTAAAGGACAGTGACCGGTTTGGCTCTGATTGGCTGGGTCGCCCAGGTATTTATTGGGTGTCTCAATATGGGACACAGTGACTAGGTGACATGAACTTACTACAGCGGCTGCATCCTGGCTGGATAGGTCTTTACACTCTGGGGTAGTGTTGGCAGAAGAAAGAATCAGGCTCCCACTGCAGCTGCAAAACTTCCTGTCCTAAAACCTAGATGGACTCGTTCTGCATTTCAATGGGATGATCATTTAATTAATTTTACTGGCCCTGCAATTGGAATAGAGAATTGAATTTTGCAAACAAAAGCATACACTAAATTCATACGGCATTCTTTTAATGTGAGTGGCCATCTGTCCGTACTGAATACTGAAGTGGCCTTAATGAGCAAAGCTGTCCCACAAGATAGAATGGGTTTTTCACCCTGTGCCATCGTCCAATCCGAACTGTGTTTTATACGAGAGAATTTTGCCCATATTCTTCCTTGTTCGCTCACAGAAAAATTCAAGTAGATACCTAAGTGACCCAACCCCAAGCCTGAATGACTTGTTAAAACAATGGATTGGGCGGAGGGCGGGGTGGGGATGGAGGTATACTGTTACTGACACCTGCATTGTTTCTTTTAACTTGTCTCCTGGCGTGTATGAGCCTGTACTGCCGTGGATTGTACCTGCAACAAGGTAAACTGGCAACTAACTAAGCCACCTTCACGCCACTGAAGCTTCTGGCTGACCACTCCGGGCACCTCGTGGAAGGCTCGCGAGAGTGTGAGAGCCGGTCCCGAGGGGTGCGGTGTGGGGGGGAGAGGCTGTTCCATGAGCTGACCGCTGTCCCGCCTGAGAGCTGGACGCTGGTCCGAGGGGACTGCGCACTGCAAACCCCGCGGGGATGGTCTGAGGGAAGCGGGCTACGTTCGGACATGAATCAGCACCCTCGGCGGCCTCCGTCGTCTGATCTGGTCCCCTTGGGCCGTCACGTCAGTCTCAAAGGACTGTGGCTCTTCATCGAGCAAACAAACAGAGAGGCGGGTCAGAAGCGCAGTACGGGGCAGAGGGGCGGAGCCGGGAAACGGCTTAATCAAAGACTGTGGAAGGTCCTGACCTCTTGACATTCAGTGAGTGAGAGGCATTGCGTCCAATTAGGTAGCGGAGTTCCGGGCATCGTGCAATCAAAGTCAGAGGCGGGTCCGCCTTTGTCGCCTTTGACTCCCAAAGCTTGAGTCTGTGCTTCCTGTACTTGCTCCTGGGACCTCTGGGGACCTGTCCTTGCCGCATTCACCTGCCCAGGCTACAGTACAGCTGGCACAAATTCCAGCGTTTTGACTCATCCTCTTCGTGGGAGTCCAAGAGGGCCCCACCCGAGTGTGTGGACAGCAGATGGGACAGAGCGGATGGGACCATCATCGGTGCCGGCGACCGGGGCTGGGGAGGGATGGGGGTGGGGGGGGGGGTGGGGAATGGGGGGACGGAGCCTGTTGCGATGAAGACGCGTCTGGGCTCTCTGAGCTGCGCCCGCGTCTTACTTCAGACAGGAAAGGGTTTTTCTGTGGCAGGAGGGTGAACAGAAGGTGGTGTGACAAGGACGGACGGTCCCCGTGTGCTCAGCAAACTCTCTGCTAAGGTCAGCAGGGACTTGTCTGCATCTCAGTGCTTGTTCAGACGAAGTGGGGGCCATATCTGGGCCTGTGTGGAGGACAGGAGCTCAAGTAAAATTTGTGTCAAAAATGGGCAATTATGATCCTTCGGTTTGGCCTGTGGAAAGAGAAAAATCTAATTTTCTAAGTAGACGCGTTTATTTAAAGTATTACTGCAACATGGGAAGTGGGGTGGGGGGGGACTGTGCCCTGGGGGCAGGAGCTGTGCAGTGGGGACAACGCTATGACCATATGATCTGCAAGCATCTCATGAGTTGGAAGAAAAGAGTTTTGCTTTCATAGAGAGGACTGAACAAAAGTAGGAAGAACCAGATTGGTGGGGATGGCAGGTCCCCAAGCCAGCTTGTCCTCAAGAGGGCTGTTCAGGCCACATGCAAGGGTCTGGAGTCAGGAGAGAAGCTGAACCACATGTAGACAACACACAGTGGCTCTGCGTGGTCAGTGGTGAGCAGCTCATCTGCTCAGTGTGAGACACAGAACAGGGATTGGGGGATCTGTTCAGATTTCTTCCTGAATTAACAACGAGAAGGGGGTTTTGGAGTGAGTGCTTTTCTCGAACAAAAGGGTGAAGGGGATCCTTACACTTTCCATGAATGTTTCCAGGTGTACAGGGCTCAGCAGGCTTCAGCGCTGTCATCTGACCCCTGTCAGCAGAGTCCTTTGTCCAGCTCTGCATTGAGAACTTTCTCTTATCTCAGCCTCAAGTTTCAACAGATGTAACATGACTGTGTTTGTTTTTGCCTCCTTTCTTCTCTTTAGTGATGGCAGTATGTGTCTCAGATTTCTTAGTCCTGTCCTGCTGACTCTATTTATTAGAGGGCTGAACCAGAGCAAGGAAATGTATCACAAGAAAAAATATTTTCTCTAATTAAATTGTGGAGAAATCCACACACTTCCATATTTTTATGTAAGTTGTGTGAAGATAGGGAATAAAATTTTTAAATGTTTTAGTAACTCTTCCAATCAGGGTTCAGAGTTTGTCACACTGTGATTCTATTCCACTGTGTGTTAATAGCTGGTCATCAGAGATTCATGCCAATTCTGTAAAGAGCGACCTGTGAAACTGGGCCATTTTCAGTCTTATTAATTGATTTCCAATTTCTTTTCAGGATGATAATTGTAAACTCATACCTATATTTCGAAAGGGATAAGCCATTTTCAGTTATTTGACCTATAAAGTACACCAGGATTTCCTCTCTTTATTTTTTAAAACATAGATGGCTGCAGGGATTCTGCGGGGTCGCATTCACACACCGGAACGGGGTCTTTCTGTCATCGCAGTGATCCCCAGTGCCTGAAGCAGAAGCATCGCATTTAGAAACAAGCTGCACTGAACGGTGGTCCTGGGTGGGAGGTGAAAGGTGAAGCGAAGTCTTGCTGGGTGCCCCCTGCACGTGGCCTCCAGTTCCAGAACCACCCAGAAGTGGCTGTTGGTGTTGAGAGAAGCCACAGAACCTGAGTACGGGAGACCCGCCTGCACAAAAGTTGGGACGCTTTCCCAAAGGTACGTTTTGGCGTCATCCACACAGTTGGATATCTTTAGTGTTTTGTGCAAACTGAGTGTGTTTGTGAAGGTCAGACTTAGCTCCTTGGGTTCAACTGCTCTTGGAAGGGGTTTTGGATTTGAGGGTTTCTGTGGGTCAGAACTCACTCTCCTGCATTCCTTCTTGGGGAGCAGTGGAGTCCTATAGGAGGGAGAGGGGGCTTTATGGGAATCCAGAGTTCGAGTCCCTGGGGTTCTTGGTCTCCTCATTTTTTCCTGGGGAGTAGCACCCTGGGCTACCTGTGAACAGGTAGAGCATGGCCCCCACTTGGAACGTCTTTGATCTCTAACTCGGGGTCCCCTGTGGGCTGTGGGAGGCCGGCTGCGGATCTGAGCTGCGCATGCTGGCCACGCTGCCCTTGGTTCCTCAGAGAGGATCTGTTGCCCTGAGACCCAATGTGTCCCACACCTAGCACGGCTGTGCCATTAACTGAAGGTGTGGGAATTTATCTTCATGGTTGGTTGTCAGATCCTCCAGGCGCTGTCCCCAGGGTGACCACCCTCCTGGTTCTCGTCACTCTCTGCAGCTTTTGATCAAGTTCATCATTACCAAGCCGTGATATGTTTGATTTTTTCTTTGTTGACTTTCCAACATTTCACACCTACTAGGATAGATAGATTACGTTAAAAAACAAACAAACAAACACTAATGTTTTAGAAACGAAGAAATTGGAACCTTTGTCCTTCGCTGGTTGGATTATAAAATGGTGCAGCCACTGTGGAAAAGAGCTTTGTGGTTTTTGAAAATGTTAAGTATAAAATTACCCTATGACATAATATTCCAGTCCAGTCTGTACTGACACAGTTACTTAAATATGTGTCCATGAGTGTTCCTTGCAGCTGTTTTCAAAACAGCCAAAAAAATGACACATGTCAAGTGTCCATCAATGAGTGAATATATAGTTGTAGCACATACTCATGATGAAATATTATATAGCCACAAAAAAAGAATGAAGCATAAATTTCCCTGCAACATGAATAAACTCTGAGAATAGGCAAAACCATAGAGACAGAGAGTTATTCTGCGGTGGGCAGGAGGTAGCATTTTCACGGTTATTATAGCCCTGAGGTTTGGTTATAAAAATGGGGTTACAGTTCTCCAAACACAATGTCCAGTTTCAGTGAGAACGCAGGGGTCAGCACATGAGCAGTGACGGGCAGCGCCACCATCCACAGGAACCTGTGTGGCCTTCTGCCTTCCAGTCCCTCTGGGGACGAAAAAGCTGAGCTGACAGGAATTTCCTCGCAGCAAAAGGCACGTCTGAGAATTTTAACATCTCACACCTTGTGGCTGTGCTGGGAGGAATGGGTGAAGCACCTAGCCAAGGGCCATCTGCCTAACGCCCTCAATGTGGGTGTCAATGGAGGGCGGGTCCTCTAGAAGTCAGAAGATCTGGGTCCGTGACAGTCCTGACCTTCCTGCTTGTAGTGAGGTCACTGGTGAGCGTTTATAGAGGGAACAGATCCATGGTGACCATGCCACCTGGCCCACCCATGACCCCAGAGGTTGCAAGCCTTTATGTCCCCTCTTGCCTCATGTGGACAAGGGGCGATATGAGGGAAATGTGAGTCAGGCTTTCCCAGTCCAGAAGGAGGACTCAAAAGGGACCACTGACCAGTGGGTTCACTGGAGCCGGTATTTTCTGTGTTTTCCAAGTCGACTACTGATGGTCCACAGAGAAGGTG